TCAGCCCAAGAAGCGTCTGCGTGCCCAGTGAGGACCACTGGACTCTGCCCTCCAAGCACAAGCCCCATGCCCAACGTACTGCACAAGTAACGCAACACCCTCTTCGCTGCAGCCATGTGCTCCGGTCTGTGTCTCCCAGGAGCAACATAGCGTGCGAGAATGCTAAGAGGGTATGCGAGGTCAGGTCGTGTGCAGGTCATCAGGTACATGAGGCAGCCAACAAGCTCTGGGTACGGGCCACTCGACTCTACGGACTCACCCGAAGGCAGAGCTGAGAGCGAGTGGCGAGTAGGCAGAGGAGTGGCCTGAGGCGAGGAGTACGTGAAGCCGAAGCGCTGAAGGACCTGCTGCACCATGTGTGACTGAGTCAGGGTAATGGTGCGGCGTGCTCTGTCCCGGGTGATCTGCAAGCCAAGGTAGCTGCGCAGTTCACCCAGGTCTGTGCACGTGTGTCTCTTCTGCAGCTCGGACTTCACGTGGGCGAGTCCAGCAGTGTCAGCTGTGGCAAAGACCAAGTCGTCGACGTACACGAGGATGTAGAACGGCGGCAAAGAAGTGTCGGTGCGCAGAAACAGCGACGGGTCAGCAGTAGAGGGAGCAAACCCAAGAGCCGCAAGTGTAGTCCTCAGTGTGTCGTGCCACTCACGCGGTGCCTGGCGGAGACCGTAGACTGGCCGCCGGAGGCTCCACTGGGTGCCAGGAGGAAAAGAGCCAGTGAAGCCAGGTGGGCGACGCAGCCAGATCTCCTCGTGCAGGCTGCCCTGCAAGAAAGCAGTGCTGAAGTCAAGAGAGTGCAGCTCGTAGTCGCGGTGAGCAGCTATGTGCAGCAGTACCCGAAGAGTGGTCATCTTCGGGGTGGGAGAGAAGGTCTGAAAGTAGTCAACTCCCTGCCGCTGACTGAAACCACGAGCCACGTAACGTGCCTTGAAGACAGGCGGAGAACCCGGCGGTCGCTTCACCCTGAAAATCCACATGCCACTGACGATGTTCGCCCCAGGCGGGAAACCTCGTCAACGTAGGTGCCTGTGGACTTCCAGGAAGCCATCTCTGTGTCCATAGCTGCCTGCCACTGAGAGGAGTAGGGACCCTCTATCGCCTCCGCGTAAGAGCGCGGAGTCGGGATGTCAAGTGCATCCGGGTCTCCCTCAGGGGTAAGCAGTACGGACACGAGATGAGGTGAAGCAGCAGCCAAACACTGGAACTCCTCCTGCCTGTCCTCAAGGACGTCCGTGCCAAGGGCACACTCACCCCCGACGGACGGAGGACAGACAGACTCAGACGCAACGACAAGACTAGCAGCGTAGTCTAGACGACAGCGAGCAGCAAAGTCGACGAGCTCAGCAACTAGGGCAGACGCAGCAGTGGACTCAAAGGAAGGGTCAGTGACGACAGTAGCAAGGAGACGCGTGACAGTAGGACTGGCAGCACGAAGAGAGTCCGACTCCGGGTCGGGAAGAGCAGGAAGAGAGGACTCAGGAGGAGAAGGCAAAGGGGCACGCAGAGGAGCAGTGGACGGACGCAGAGACATCCGGTGCGTGCCAGGGACAGGAGGAGGACGCTGACGCGAACCACGGCCACTAGTGCGAGCAAGACGGACAGGCGACGCAGGGCGAGACGCAGGCTCACGACGCTCAGCCAGACCTCCAGTAGGACCAGTGTAGGGAGAAGGAGCGGGCAGTGTGAAGGCCGGCTGTAACTGTAACTGGGACGGGACAGGCTGTGGACACTCTAAGGGAGGAGGAGGACCAGTAGAAGGCGGGAGACCAAGAACCTGCTGAAGGAGCGGAACGAAGTACGGCCGAGGCCGCGCGGCGACTCCAGACACAGCAGGGACAGCACCAGTACCCCCAGCTGCAGCACCAGCGCCAGCAGCACCTCCAGCTCCAGTACCTCCAGCAGCACCAGTAGCACCCCCAGTAGGACCGCCTCCAGGACCGACAGCAGTAGCCTCAGCGCCAACACCCTCAGCAGCTCCAGCTCCAGGCGTACCCGCAGGCCCAGCAGCTCCAGTACTCCCAGTACGAGCACCTCCGGGACCCGCGGCACCAGCACCCGCAGCAGTCGAAGAACCTCCAGCTCCAGCAGCACGCCGCCAGCGTCGGGCAAACCACTCTCGCAGCTCCTGTGGAGAGAGTGCCTCCCGCCGAGACGAAGCACCCGGAGAACCTCCAGGCTCAGCACCTCCAGACGCCAAACGAGCAGGCCCAGCTCCCTCAGGCTCCGCACCCCCAGGCTCAGCACCTCCAGGCGTAGCACCCCCAGGCTCAGCACCCCCAGGCTCAGCACCCCCAGGCGTAGCACCCCCAGGCTCAGCACCCCCAGGCTCAGCACCCCCAGTAGTAGCACCCCCAGGCTCAGCACCCCCAGTAGTAGCACCCTCAGGCTCAGCACCCCCAGAGTCAGCACCCCCAGGCTCAGCACCCTCAGCAGCACCAGAGTCACTTGTAACCTCGACAGGCTCGACTGCGTCTACCTGGGACACACCTGAAGGGGCAGGACCCTGAGGGGGGAGGGGGTCTACCGGGGGGGGACCTGGCACAAGGAAGAGCGGTGGCGGGGGGAGGGACGGAGTGCGGTAGGGGAAGAGGCGGTAGTAGGGGACCGACTCGTCAAACGTGACGTCCTGGGAGGACAGAACACGGCGAGAGGTGGGGTGGTAGAACTGCCACCCTGGCGCGTCAGGGGGGAAGCCAAGGAAGACGCAAGGAGCAGCACGAGGGGACAGCTTGTCCGCAGACAAGTCGCGGACAAACGCCCGAGATCCCCAGATACGGAACGCAGACGCATCGCCAACCTTCCCCGTCCACAGCAAAGCTGGGGAGGTCTCCGGCATGGAGACCCTGGGGTGAAGGTTGATCTGATGCGCCGCGTACCGAACCGCAAACGGCCACAGAAAATGGGGGGCAGCCGCATGCATCATGGACGTACGGGCGACGTCCATGACCATGCCAATGCGGCGCTCAGCAATCCCATTTTGCTGTGGAGAGTCCGGAAGCGTGAAGGTCTGGCGGATGCCTCGTGCACGACAGTAGGCTCGCAGAAGGCCAGAGGAGAACTCTCCACCTCTGTCAGAGTGCAGACGCAGAACAGGAAAGTCCGAGCCGAAGCTCTGCCTGAGCTGGAGACGAGCTGCGCGGATCCAGTCGATCAACACCTCAGTGACATCACCCTTGCTGCGCAAGGGGAAGACCGTGGTGTAGCGCGAGTAGTCGTCAACCACCAGCAGGAAGTAGCGCTCGTGACCCTGTCCACGGACGCGGGCCGGGCCCCACACGTCCATGTGAAGCGTCTGCAGCGGGGCCTCTGTCGGAGGAAACTGGGAGGAGTGAGGGGCAGCCCGCTGCCGCCCCTCGACACAAGGGGCGCAGGTAGGGCCGGGCCCCGGAGGAAGGGGAGGGAGGGACCGGGGAAGACCAGAGACAAGGACACGGGAGGCCATGCCTCGGAGACGAAGCAGGGAGGGGTGACCAAGGCGGTGGTGCCAGAGGAGAGTCTCGTGCGACAGGAGGCGACACGAACAGGGGGCAGACTCAGGACCAGACCTGGACGCTGCAGCAAACACCTGACCCAACGCAGCTACCTGACCAGACGCAGTGACTGGAGGAGACGCAGTGGTCAGTGTGTACAGGCTCGACCCCGGCCGACGTGTAAACATGGCCAGGTGTCGGCCTGTCCGAGCGTCCGTGCAGTGGGTCACCCGCTGACTCGCAGGAGTGAACTGGTGAACCCCCGCATCCTGTAGGTCAGCACCACTCACCAAGTTCGTAGAGAACGAGGGGAGGTAAAGACCAGACAGGGTGCCAGAGGGGGCCGCCGGACACGGGAGGACAGTGGAGAAGTGAGCAAGGACAGGACCCCCAGAGGGGTCTGCCAGAGAGACTGCAACTGGCCGGCCAAGCGGCGTGAGTGTGGTGCGGTCTCGAAAGGAGCGAGAAGCCCCCGAGTCAAGGGTGAAGGTGTGGGAGGCCGAAGCCGACGCAGTACCTGAGAGAGCATACTCACCAGCACCTGAGTGAGCAGACGCACGAGCACCTAGAGCAGCAGCCTCGCTAGCACCTAGAGCAGCAGCCTCACCAGTACCTAGAGCAGCAGTCTCAATGCCCGGGTCGGGCGGAAAACACCGGTAACAGTCACCCTCATCACTAATAGTCACAGCATACATGGCAGCAAGAATAGCATCAAAGTCGAGCTGCTCCTGCGTCAATGTGGCGAGCGTGAATTCGGCCATGGCGGGGGTGTCGGGCGAGCTCAGCGAGAGCCTCGGTCGTGGCCGTGCGTGCTTACAAGAGAGCACTACGAGCGGCGGTGCTGTGTCGCTGAGGGACGTCTACCCCCCCCAAAAATTGAGATAGTGGGGAAGCGAAGGTGTGGGTGCGGTCCGAGAAGAGGTCGTAGGCTCTGATACCAAGTGTTACGAGTGCAATTGAGTGAACGAACGAGAATTGCACTATCGAAGCAAGCGTATAATGAGCGAAGGCATGAGCGAAGAATATATAGCGAAACTACAGTGGTAACGGTAATGGACTGTGGTTGTCGCGCGACGGGCCTGGGACTGAGGTTGGGAAAAGTGTCGAAGCGGAGGCCCGGAGCGCGGGTTACCCGCCGAGCCGTGAGGTCGGGGTGCGACGTGCGAGAGTGGCGGGCGGATTGTCGATGCGAGGATTGCGAGTGGTAACGGTGCTGACTGTGGTGCTACAGTGATGTACGCGTTTGAGCAGGGACGCGAAGTAAGGAAAAGGAGATTTTCCTTACAGTGAGACATCACACAACCACTCTTATAACTTCCAGAATATCTTACATGGAATGTGTGAGGTCTCACATCGGAAAGCTATGGCACAGAAAATTAACATATTTATTGCCAACACAAATCACCAAGTATGGTGCAAGGCAAGGGGTCCACAGAACCTATGGAAACCACAAGTAAAATACAGCTTAGAAATAGCTGGTGACCAGCAAGATGCTAGCCAAAAGCAAACAAGGAAACATAAGCAAAAGCATAATCAAGACATCTGAGTGATGGCCTGTGGATGCGACTGCTGCATTGCCAAGGGCTGCTCCTGCACTCCATCTTGAACTGCATCCTCTGCCATCCTTTGATGCTGCTGTTGCTGTTGCTGCTCCATCAACTGCTGCTGCTGCTGCTGCTGCTGCTGCTGCTGCTGCTGTTGTTGCTGTTGCTGCTGCTGCTGTTGCTGCTGCTGTTGCTGCTCTTGCTGTTGCTGTTGCTGCTCTTGCTGCTGCTGCTGCTGCTGCTGCTGCTGCTGATTCATAAGAAGCTGCTGCTGCTCGGGCCAGTGCTTCATTCTCTCAACAGCTTTCTGGAGTAGCTCCTTTCGATGCCGTTTGAAACTGCTCATTTCAGAAACACCAGAGCCAGGCTCACGGCCATCGGCACCGCCAGGAACAGCCTTTTCACCACCAAGGGCCTCTCGCAGCTTGGAAATGCTGCCTTCAAATTCCACACGCAAAATCTCTTCCCAGTAACGAATCGCAGCATCCAGGCTTCCACCCAGCTCGGCGGCCTTCTTCTCAATAGCGTGAATAATGCGCATCTGCAATGAGAAGGGATGAAGACGAGCCATTGTTAACTTAGATAAGACAAAGAAAAGAAACAACAGACACTACGAGATGAGTTTCAACGTTACCTGCTTGCTCCAGTATTTGTAATCGTTCTTATGTCTCCACCAAACGCATTTGCGGTCGCGCTTGCGTGCTTCTTCAAGCTTCTCAATGGACGGCCCACCGTTTATACCCTCCTTCCATTCCGTCCAAACGTCGATGACCTTGCTCTCGGAGCTGCGATTCACTTCGTAGCCTTCAGGATTAACGAGGTCCGCTTCAAATCCAGCCGCTGAGCTCCCGGGACCGAGCAAAAGCTGACCTCCGGGACCTCCTGGTGCACCTGGAGGGGGGGAAAGCATTCTGCGACTCCGTTTTCCTTGTCCTGGAGGTTGAGATGGCTTCAGCGCTGGAGATGCAGGCACCAGCGAAGGCGGCATCAACGAAGCAGCCGAAGTCATTTGCTGAGGTTGCAAATAGTCGGCAGGAGCTCCGCATGCTGTGAGAGGTTGACATCCCAGCTGTGACAAGTGATGTTGCTGTTGCTGAAGGTGTTGCTGCTGAGGGGGTTGTTGCTGCTGATACGGCTGCTGGTTTCGTGAGTCGGTCTGCAGCTGCTGCTGGTGCGCTCCAACAGTAGGAATTCCTGAACAAAACCGCAAGGGTGGTAGCACACATCATAGAGGTAAGTGACATTGAAACGAAAGAGCAGACGCGAATGCACATGGAAGCGCCTTGACAGAACGATACTTATGGAATGCCTAGAACATCAAAGAAACGTTTCCGGTAGTCGGGAAATTCCACCTGACGTAATCGTGAGTGTAGAGCCACCAGTGAGAGGAGAATCCGAAAACAAGATCCTGAGAAAGATAGTTTCTTGAATCCGCAGTTGCTCTTTCTCCTTCCACAAGCAGTTCCGGATGTGACGACAATCGCTAACTCGCTCCTTGTCACCTAGTTCAGCTGCAGACTCTACTTCTCTACATACTACAGTAAGTTGGTTTTCAACATTGGCGATGTCACGCCGAACGCGCATCAATTCGCCCCTAGCATCGTCGGGGCGGTAAGAAGCCATGTTGCCGTCGCTGCCCTGAAGGACAAGGAGCGACGAAGGGCTCGGATGAACGATAAACTGGGAGCTCGCAGATAGACAAGACGAGGGTTGCGATAGACTGGAAGCTGAAGCATCAGGTTGGGCGATAAAACGAAACCCTGGAAGCAGATGGGCGATTGTTGAGGGAAATGGGTGCGATGAACCAAGGTGTAGCAAGCGATGGCTCCAAGGGGAAGTGGTTCAGGATTGAGGGGTGAGGGGCGACTGTATCAATCCACCCATTGTGACTGCGACGGCGGAAAACCCGAGTTGTGCGGCGATTCCAAGGGCTGAAATCTTGTCAGCGGTTGCGATCTGCTCATGACGCATTATCGACGGTTTAGATGGAACATGGAAGTTTTGAGGTGACCCCATGAATGTTTGGCTGGGCAATGAGGTGATGACGGAGAAAATCGCAAGCCCTGCGATTCGCGAGGGCCCAGCACCTGGAAAGATTCCACGTCAGCAAGCATGCACCTGGGGAATGCAATTCGCGGAGGAAACTGTAATTCGACAGCTGCTGTCGTCGGCCAACCACCATCGTCGTCCGAGGTTAACCAATTATCGCCCCCTGGCATTGAGCATGACACGACTGCAAATTGGCAGGACCTTGCGACCAGCGCCAACCACCTTCCAACTGTCTAGTACACTCAAACAGTGTATCTATTCACGCTTAGCCTATCCCTCATGCTGATAACTTGAAATAATAGTTGGTGAAGGGAAATCCACAAACATTGGTCCTATGGGGAAAAAACAGCAGATAAACTTAAAAAGGATGACACATTTTGTAATAATATGGGAAAAAATATTATGCATGGGTGGTTTACAGGGTCAACAGGTAAGGAGTTTGCATGGCATTTCTGAAATAAATGACTTTCTTAATGACTAGAAGGGTCAGCTGTAGCTTCTTAGCTTATGTGAAGTGAACAAGTGTAGCTATTTCAGTTTTCTCAAGCTTCGTGTTCTTCTGTCGAGCGTGACAGCTACTCCTGACAGGGCTGTTGTCCAGAGGTGGTTTACATGCCTGTTTGTTCCTCGCGCAGACTTGGTTCGGCACGAGCCCGGGAACTTACCATCTCCCTTGGCCCGACCTCCTTTTTTGGCTTGGTTTGGTTGTTGTGGCTGGGCTTGATATTTCCACCAGCTTCATTCCCCTGTCATATCAGCACTGCAACCAAAGTTTGCTCTTTTCTTCCCACAGCTTCCACCTCTCAACATTGTTTGTCCTTACCTGCTTCTGTAGTAACCATGGGGTCTGAGCGCGAAGATCAGGTTTACCTTGCCAAGCTTGCTGAGCAGGCCGAACGCTATGACGAGATGGTGGAGGCCATTGAGAAAGTTGCGAAGCTCGCTGACGATGTGGAGCTCTCGGTGGAGGAGCGCAACCTTCTATCGGTAGCATTTAAGAATGTTGTTGGAGCTCGCCGCGCTTCGTGGCGTATCGTCTCCTCTATTGAGCAAAAAGAGGAAAGCAGAGGCCACGAGGATCGTGTTACTATTATCAAGGAGTACCGCGCGAAGATTGAGAAGGAACTAGACGAGATCTGTGGACGCATCCTCACCTTGTTGGATGCACACCTTATTCCTGCATCTAAATCCGCTGAGGCGAAGGTGTTTTACCTGAAAATGAAGGGTGATTATCATCGTTATCTCGCGGAGTTCAAGTCAGGCGCAGATCGCAAAGCTGCCGCTGAAAGCACGCTGGAGGCTTACACTGCAGCTCAGGTACGTTCTGTCATATCTCCCCAAATAACTGGGCTTTGGTATCTCGAGCTTTATTTTCCACGCGTACGAGTAATGTATGTGTTCAATGTATTTCAGTTCATAACGTTTTTGTCAAACGACATTAATTTATTTCTTTTCTGTGCTACTACGATTTGTATATTTGCCATACGATCGAATGCCCTCTCTTTACTTCCGACATGATTTCTATTTTTATATTTCTGTGTTTAATGACTTGCCCTTCGCTGCCGTGTTTCCATTGCACAGGATACTGCTAATGCTGATCTTGCTACTACTCACCCGATTCGTCTGGGTTTGGCCCTTAACTTCTCCGTCTTCTACTACGAGATTCTTAACTCTCCTGAGCGCGCTTGCACGCTCGCGAAGCAGGTAATCCAGTTCAGTTCCAACGCTCTTGTTCCATGTTGCTCTCTATCTAGTTCTTACTATTTGGTCCACGCTGCAGGCTTTCGATGAAGCAATTGCGGAGCTCGACACGCTCGGGGAGGACTCGTACAAGGATAGCACGCTCATCATGCAATTGCTGCGGGATAACCTGACTCTTTGGACCTCGGACATGCAGGTATGTTCTGGCTAATATTCGTTTTTGTGCACCGTTGTTTCCCTTGGATGCTATCGTTTTGTATGTTGGTGATGGTTGACATTAAATGACAACTGGTTTTACCTGCACTCGTGTCTTTCCCTGTTGCAGGATGAGGCAGCAGAGGAGAAGGCTGACGAATGAGAACCATTGTCCTACCGGATATCAGGGTGGTTCACGCTTGTTTGAGCTATGTTAGTTATCCCCTCATAGGCTAGCTGCCCTTTAGGACTTGTTTGCAAGCTGGTTCGTACTTCTGGTGTTATTTCTTCGTGACTAAATGCTTTTAGGCTGCTACCGGTATGTGGATTCTAATATTCCCTTCAGATGCTTCTTCCATAACTGTCCTTTGCCTTAGCTTTAGGCAGATGGTTCATGCTAATTTTTGAAATATGTGAACGGTGTAAGCGCGTTAGTCCCAAATAACGCTTACAGGAGGAGTAATTGACGTGGCATTCCAGATGCATTCATGGTTTCCATTGAAACAGCCTTCTGGACCCCAGATTGCGCGTACAACGTCATCAATAGTCCTATCAGTCACATGCATGCACCTCGCACATCCACCACTGAGTCGTCTGGATTCCTCCTCTCATTTCACCGAACTTTATCAGATTCGAATCCTCCCGACCCATCACATTTACCCACCTCCTCGCCAAATTTCCTGCTTCACTTTTCATGCACTGACACGCACCCGTTCGCACATTTCACGCATTTCCCAGTTTCTCCAGCCTGGTTTCGTACATATTTGCAATGTCGCGCCAAGCTTCAGCATTCGTTGGTCGAAGAATCACCAGCTGCTCATCGGCTCAGCTTGCCATTCGCTTCTCCCGTCTCAACTTATTCTGCACCAAAAACGCCGACCGCATTTCACGGCCTCTTCTATCCTGCGGCTCGTTACGTTCCGTCACAACCTCGACGTCCCTTTCATCCCACTTCAACGCCCATCCCGTCGCGGCACCATCTCTTACGATTCGCCATCCAAGCGGTGAGTGCTTGCATGGAGGCTCCAACTTGTAACAGTCACATTTCTCTTTGCATTCCGGGCAAGCCGCTTTTATAAGTAAACACTCCTGGCTTCTTCTGATACCGAGCTTCCACCTTCCATGCCTGAATTCTCAATCCATCTCTCACGCTCACTGCGATTTTCATACCCCCATCCCACGTGATCGGTCTCCCCCTCTGCAGCCGTCCACTCCCGCTCTTTCCCGATCGTCTCCGCCTCCGCCTCCGCCTCCCCTTCGGCAAGTTCCGCAATGGGGGAAACGGGGGAGTCCGCAAGGCCGCGCGTGCTGGTGGTGGGGCCGCAGCTGCCGCGCCTGGTATCCGATCTTGAGCAATTCGCGACGCTCGTGCACCTCCCGACGGGCGACAAGGCAGCGTGGGGCCCGCTGCTGGACGCGCACGCGGGGGAGATCCGCGCGGCTGTGACCAACAGCTTCTGGGGCTTCCCCGCGGAGCTCTTCGAGCGGCTTCCGCGGCTGGAGATTATCACCAACTTCGGCGTGGGCGTGGATTCCATAGGTATGCCGGAGTGCTGCTAGGTGAAACGGGGTTGAGAAGAGTGAGGAGGGGAAGGGGATTCAGCAGGTGGGACATTTGCCGCACTTCACCTTTCACGCTTCCCGCTCCATCTTGTGTTTCCTTTCCCGCGAACAGTGGTCACTCGACAATTCCCGTTTATCCCTCCCGGTGTGACTGCATTTCCCCACGTACGTCTCCCATTGGATTCAGACGTGGCGAAGGCCAAGGAGAAGGGCATCCACGTCACCAACACGCCAGACGTGCTCACGGATGACGTGGCAGACCTGGCCCTCGGGCTGATGCTGACTGTATCGCGGCGGCTGGTGGAGGGAGATCGATACGTGCGCGAGGGGGAGTGGGTCAAGAAGGGCATGATGCACCTGACGCACAAGGTGAGCTGCGGTGTTGGTGAGGGGTGGAGAGGGGTGGTAAGTGGTGGAAATGGAAGGGGGTGTGTAGGATAGGTGGGGGGTGGCGGTGGATGTGGAGTAAGGGCGTTCAAAGAAACTGTGATGCGTATGACGAAAGCAACCTTAATGGGCAGGGCACCGTTTATAACTGATGGGCATATTTAAACTGATGGGCACAGCATAGCATAGCTGGTCAGTCATCCAAACCTGCTCCTGCTTGACAGAGCGTGGGAGGAAGGCGTACAATGAATGGATTGATTCGTTTGCTACTGTCAATTCGCTCGCGGTCCCCCTCTCCTCCCAACCTTTCCCCCTTTCCCGCTTCCCCCTTCCCCCGCTCCTGTCCTGCTTGGCTGCACGCTTTTCCAGCTTCACAATTCACTCCAACACCTCCCGTTCCCCCTCCCCACCCTACTGTCCCCTTTCCCTTTTCTCCCCAACGCCCTGTGCCCCTTGTGCCTTACGGCCAAGTGACTCAAATGTCTGCGACGCGTAGGCGTAACCATAGCTATAGGCCCATAGCCTAGCTAGCAGCACTCTCCAACTGCCCTCCATCTCACTCTCTCTCCACCTCCCCTGTCCTCCCCTGGCTGAGCCACAGGTGTTAGGCAAGCGAGTGGGCATCATAGGTCTGGGCCGCATCGGCCTGGCCATAGCCCAGCGCGCAGCCGCCGACGCTTGAGGCGCCTCTAAAGTCTCTCCCCTTCCCCCCGTCCTCCCTGGCTGAGCCACAGGTGTCAGGCAAGCGAGTGGGCATCATAGGTCTGGGTCGCATCGGCCTGGCCATAGCCCAGCGCGCAGCCGCCTTCAACTGCCCCATTGCCTACTACAGCCGCCGCCAGCGCTCCGACATCCCCTCCTCCTACTCCTACCACTCCTCCCCCACCGCCCTCGCCGCCTCCTCGGATTTCCTTGTTGTGGCCTGCCCTCTCACCCCGGAAACCACGCACATTGTAGACGCATCCGTGCTGGAGGCTCTCGGCCCTTCAGGGGTGCTGATTAACATCGCCCGGGGGAAGAATGTGGATGAGCCGGCGCTTGTGGCGGCGTTAAAGGAAGGGAAGGTGGGGGGAGCGGGGCTGGATGTTTTTGAAGATGAGCCGAATGTGCCTGCGGAGCTGCTGGAAATGGATAATGTGGTGGTGCAGCCGCACGTGGGCAGTGGCACGTTTGAGACGCGTGGCGTGATGGCTGATGTGGTGCTGGAGAATCTCAAGGCGCATCTTGCAGGGGAGGCGCTCAAGACGCCTGTGTAGGGCGGGGTGTGCGGTGTGCTCGCTGCTGCTGGTTGCGCCTGTTCTGCTGGTGCAAGTGCTGCTGGAAGGTGAAGAACGGCATGGGTATGCCATGGAAAACTCATTATTATTTTTACGGTAATTGCTGCTGAATCTGTAGATAATTTGACCCTCCCTAGGTGTTGTAAACGTGAATAGCTTTGTGTCGTGCCAGTATTCTATCAATTGAGGTATTGAAGCTGGAGCACACATGCAGCAGATTTACTAGAAAGTACAGAATTACACAGGAGAATAAATCTTCGAATTTAATGTTTCCCCCCCAACCACTTTCCCTCACATTTCCACATCCATAATTGTTTCCACTAAAACAGTGGTACTCAATAACCTTCACTGGTATACATACCCTGATCTTATCCGAGTAATTTCATCAGTCCCCCTCAGCTGCCTGTGCTTGCAGCAGCCTCAACTTGGCCAGCACATCACTTCCTGTCTCACCATCCACGGCCATCCCTGCTGGCGCTGAAGCACTGTCATCCAGGCCTTGCTGCTTGCCCCTCGCCCCCTCCTGCAAAAGTCGGTGCAACTGGGAGAGCACCGCATGCACTGCCACTCCCTCCTCATCCACCCGCTCACTCTCCTCTGAACCCCTCGCTGCTTCTTTTCCTTCTGCTGCTTCCGCTGCTGCTTCTGCTGCTGCTGCTGTTGCTGATGGTGCTGCCGACAATGGTGCTGCTGCAGCAGTTTCTGCTGCTGGCCCTGCTCCTGCTGCGAGTCTCTCTCTGCGGTGTGCTTCCCTCTCCTGCTCTAACTGTTGTGCTCTCCTGCCCGCACAGCACAGCACCGACTCCGGCATGCCTGCACCGCAAGGGGAGGGGAGGGGAGCCATCACGGCACCAGCGAGGGAGAAGAGAAGGGGAGAGGAGGGCGGGGAGCATGAGGCATGGTAGTGGCAGGTAGTTTAGCAGAGACAAGAATGGAAGTTGGATGGGGGGGGGAGGTGGGCATGGGAATGGTAGTAAAGGGAAGTGAGAGCCACAAGGAAGGAGCAGGAAGCAGCCAGCAGCCTGTCTTTAAGAGCTATGCAGAGAGATGCAGGGAGGTGCAGGGAGGTGCATGGAGGTGCAGGCAGATGCAGGGAGCAAAGCAGCGGACCTGCGAGGCGTGCGACGTTGATGCCATAGCTCTTGGGGCAGGAGCCCTGTGCGAGCTTGTACAGAAACACCACCTCCTCCACCTCCTCCCCTCTCTCGCCGCCGCTGACGCTGCTGGTGTTGTTGCTCCCGCCCGCCCTGCTGCTGCTTGCAGCAGCGGCGGGAGCGGCCTCGTGGGAAGGCGAGGAGCGCACCTGGCATGCCATGTGCTGTAGGGATACCTGAAGGCTCACAGGGGAGGTGAGAGGGCAGAGGGGAGAGATGGGAGAGGAGGGAGGGGAGGTATGGGAGAGGGGAGAGGGTAGAGCAGAGAGAGTGAGGGGAAGAGGTGTGGAGGATGGAAGGGAAAGGGAGAGAGTGAGTGGAGAGAGGACAGGAGGACGGGATGACAGGAAGATGAGAGGATGGGAACATGAGGCGACCTGCTGATCAGAGCGACATGTGCCTTGCAGTGGCCCTGTGCACATACATGACTGGATGCTTTGGTGTGCCTGCGCACACACAGGCATGTGCAGGTCTGATGCGGTTTGTGGCCATAGCCATGCCCATAACCATGCCCATGCGCCCATGCCCATAACCATGCCCATGCGCCCATGCCCATCACACGCCCATGCCCACGCCCATTCCCACGACCATGCCCATTCGCACGCCCTCACATGCTCGGGCGCACTCACCCCAGGATGGTGTTGAAAGTCGTGTGCTAAGGCATGGTAGTGCGTGGAGAACACTCCCACACACCCCACCCGGTTCAGCAGATGCTCAAACACCGCATGCCTGGTGGGGGGAGAACGGGGGGGCGAGGGGAGCGTTTTTGAAAATTCTCAGAAGATGCACAAACAGTGCATGGCAGCTGGTGTGAAGCAGGGGAGAGGGGGCGTGAAGCAGGGGAGAGGGGGCGTGGAGGAGAAGGGGAGGGGTGGTGGCAGGGTTGTTAGAGGGGGACACTTTGGCGGTGACTGGACAGACTGAGCGAGAGCGAGGGGCACAGCAGAAGACGAGCCCAACCCATCACATCCCACCATATCCCACCCCACTGCACCGCGGCCCCCGTCACCCCACGCCCCCCTCCTCTCCACTCCAACTCACGCGATGGCGTGGCCGTCAGAAGTGGCAGTGCCTCTCCCCAGCTCGACGAGGGGCACAAAGGAGTGGCGTGTGGCGCAGCGCAGCATGCCCGCCGTCTCCTAGAGCCCCCACCCCACCACCCAACCCCACCCCACCGAACCCCACAGCACTGCACACCCCTCCACCACGACTCACGCGATGGCGTGGCCATCAGAAGTGGCAGTGCCTCTCCCCAGCTCGTCGAGAGCCACGAAGGAGTGGCGTGTGGCGCAGCGCAGCATGCCCGCCGTCTCCTGCAGTTCCACGAGAAACGTGGAGCGCGCCGCCATGATGTGATCGCGCGCCCCCATGCGCACAAACACGCGGTCCACTGGGGAGAGGGCGAGGGATTCGGCTGGGACATGGGCTCCTAGCTGGTGATCAGGGCAGGGGGGGCAAAGCAGCAGGGAGAAAGGGAGAAACGGAGAATTGGAGGCCATGATGTGGTCGCGCGCGCGCCTCCATGCGCACAAACACGCGATCCACTGGGGAGAGGGCGAGGGACTCTGCCGGCACGTGGGCTCCCAGCTGGTGTGTGGTGGGGACAAAGGGGCAGGGAAGGGAGGAGGAGACAGGAGAGGAGGAAAACCGGTGGGCTTGGCAATGGACAAAGGAGAACGAGTTTTGAGACGTCTCACAACTAGAAAACCGGTGGGCGGGGCTTGGCATTGGACAAAGGAGAACGAGTTTTGAGACGTCTCACAACTAGAAAACCGGTGGGCGGGGCTTGGCATTGGACAAAGGAGAACGAGTTTTGAGACGTCTCACAACTAGAAAACCGGTGGGCGGGGCTTGGCAATGGACAAAGGAGAACGAGTTTTGAGACGTCTCACAACTAGAAAACCGGTGGGCGGGGCTTGGCATTGGACAAAGGAGAACGAGTTTTGAGACGTCTCACAACTAGAAAACCGGTGGGCGGGGCTTGGCATTGGACAAAGGAGAACAAACGACGCTCTAGAAATGAGAAAGTCGCTCATCACTTTGACATCACTTTGAGGCCTTCCCTCGAGGACCCTCAAATCCTTCACTTCTGCCTTCCCTTCCCTCCCTGTTCCAACGCTTCCTCCACTTCACTCTTCCTTACCACTCCCCTTCCCCCTTCCCCCTCCCCCCTTCCCCCTTCCCCCTTTCCCCTTCCCCCTTACCCTTCCTCCCTCATTACCTGCGCCAGGATGACAGCGAGACATGTCTGCCGAATGAGAGTGGACTTTCCGCCCATGTTCGGCCCTGTCAGCAGCATCATCCGCGCCCCTTCCCCTCCCCTTCCCCCTCCCCCTCCCCCTTCCGCCTCTCCCCCTCCTCCTCCCCCTCCCGCCCCCCTGCCCCCACCACCACATCCCCCCAGCACAGTGTCATTGGGAACAAAGCAGCTGCCACCAGACCCCATGGTCGCCAGCACAGCATGCCGCAACCCCTTCGCCCTGAAATACGGCACTTTCCCCACCCCCCGCTCCCTCACCCCCTCTCCCTCCCCCTCTCCCTCCCTCTCCCCTTCCCTCTCCCCTTCCTCGCCCCCGCGCACAGCAAACCCCACGTGCGGGCGGCACATGGGGGGGGCACCAGCTTGGGAGAAGGCAGCGAGGGAGAGCAGGGCGTCTAGCTGGGCGATGGCATGCACGGCGCGCAGCCAGAGCGGGAGGGACGCGCAGAAGCGGCCTAGAAGCCGCTGGTAGATGCCCTTCAGGGCCGCCTCCTCCTCCTCCTTGGCTTCTGCTAGCCGCTGTAGAGCTGAGCGGATGAAGGGCGTCCAGAACCGCCGCACGCCCTGGGGTGGGTGGATGTGTGGGAGGGGAAGAGGAGGAATGAATAAATGAGTGAGTGAGTTCGTGTGTGAGTGATAGGTTCCCCGTGCTCTGCCCTTGCTGCTCCTCTCCCCTTCACCCCTTGCCCTTCGCCCTCTGCCCCTTTGCCCCTTCGACCTCTGCCCCTCTGCTCTGCACTCTCTCCTCCATCCCTTTACACCCCACCTTCTTCTGGGACTTGAGCTCGTAGGAGGGTGGCACGCGGCTGAGCAACGAATCGGGCACCTCCAGCTGGAACGGGTCCTTGCCCACTGTCACGAACGCCAGGGGCACCTGTATGAAAGGGAGGGGGGGGGAGGAGGGTGTGCTGAGTTTGAGGCCCCTCACAACCCACCTCCAGCTGGAGCGGGTCCTTGCCCACTGTCACGAACGCCAGGGGCACCTGCGGATAGAGAGGTGGGAGGTGGGGAACGGGAGTGAGGCAACAGAAGAATGGTGAAACAATAGGCGCCTTGAAACCCACCTCCAGCTGGAACGGGTCCTTGCCCACTGTCACAAACGCCAGGGGCACCTGTGGACGGAGGCCATGGGCACAGGGGCACAGGGGGGAAGGAGGACAGGGGGACAGGGGGTCAGGGACACAGGGGGACAGGGGGACAGGGGGACAGGGGGACAGGGGAGCAGCGGCACAAGGAGACAGGGAGACACAGCAATGCTCTTGTAAGTTGACAAAACAGATGGAGGGAAAACAAAAATACTAACCTAGCACGACCCAGCCCAGCCCAACCCCTCCCAGACCAGCCCAGCCCAGCCCAGCCAAACGAAATCCAGATCAGAGCACACACAACGTGGGCGGGGCTGGTCTGGGAGCACACGCACCGTGGGCGGGGCTGGTCTGGGAGCACACGCACCGTGGGCGGGGCTGGTCTGGGAGCACACGCACCGTGGGCGGGGCTGGTCTGGGAGCACACGCACCGTGGGCGGGGCTGGTCTGGGAGCACACGCACCGTGGGCGGGGCTGGTCTGGGAGCACACGCACCGTGGGAGGGGCGCGCAGCACGTGGCGTTGCTCCTCCAGGTGCTGCTGTAGCTCCGCCTCCACAGCCCTCACTCGCGCTGCAGCAGCGTCATACGCCTTGTCCACTCCCGGCGACGACGGTAAGATGCGCCCACACGCGTCCGCCTGCGCCCAGTCAAACGCCCGCTCAAACGCACGCAGCCGCGACTCTATCGGCGGAAACGTCCCTTTTCCAACTCCTCTTGCGCCCCCCTTGCCTCCTCCCCGTCCTGCCCCTCCTCCTCCCCTTCCTCCTCCTTCTCCTCCTCCTGGAGCAGCAGGAGAGAGCAGGTTGCGCAGCAGGGAGCTGGAGAGGCGGGGCAGCAGCGGGGCCAAGGCGTGAGCGGCAACAAGGAGAGCCTGGCAGCCGCGCAGAGCAGAGGTGAACTCCCGCACGCGCGCCAGAGCCACGTTCTCGTATTGCACCACCTGACTCGCGTTGCGCCCCATCTGCTGCTGCTGCTGGTGTTGGTGTTGGTGTTGTTGCTTGCCTGATTTTGCATCTGCTGCCTCTGCTGCTGCTGCTGCTGGGAAGGCCTTTGCCCTGTAGCAGGGGTTGCAGAGCAGAGGGGTGGGTGGGTGTGAGGGAGGAGTGCGCAGCATGAGGATGAGAGAGGGAAGGGGAGTTGTGGCAACATGGAGTGGAGCAGAAACGAGCAGAGTTGACAACGATGGTGTGGCAAGCGCCAGCAGCAGCCAACAACGAGCTGCATGCTTACCACCAACCACCAGCCCCCTCTCCTCCGCAACCTACTTTTGAGGCGCCTCAAAACAAGAGCTGCATGCTTACCACCACCAGCCCCCTCTCCTCCGCAACCCCAAACACCAACACCCACACCCCACCAGCTCCCCTAAACCCCCCAGGAGTGCCTAACAACCCACGCCCCAATCCCCCGACACCTCACCAGTGCGAGTGTATCCTTGGCAGCAGCCGGTCCAAATCCGCCACTCCCCCCAGTGCCTTCACCACCTTCAGCAGCAGCTACCAGCACCCCCCCGTAGACCCTAGCAACCCCAGCACCCTTTCCTACCCCTTTCCAAAATGAATCTCACCAGTGCGAGTGGATCCTGGGCAGAAGCCGGTCCAAGTCCGCCACTCCCCCCAGCGCCTTCACAGCCTTCCCCGCAGCCTCCGCCCCCACGCCCATCAGATCCCCCACCGCTCTCTGCCTCTCTCTGATCGCCTCTGCTCGCAGCAGCGGCCGCACGAGCCACTGCCGCAGCAGGCGCCGCCCAAACGGCGTGACGGTGCGGTCCAGGAGCGCAAAGAGAGAGCCTGAGCTCGTGCCGTCGCGGCTGTTCTCGAGAATCTCGAGATTCTCCAGCGCACAGCTGTCCAGGACCATAAAGGGTTCTTCCTCTTCTGGCTCCTCCTCTTCCTGCTGCTCATCTTCCTCGCACTCCCCTTCTGCCTCCTCCACTTCTTGCCCCTCCACCTGCATGGAATCGCTCCTCTGCTCCCCCAGCTCCCCCACCTGAGCACGCCCCTTTCCAGCTGTGGCAGCGTTGGTTTTCCTGCTGCAGTCCGGGGGCAGGGCGGCAGGGAGGAAGGAGAAGCGGCGCAGGGCGAGGAGTCTGGATTCCAGCAGGCACGCGCGGAGGTATGCCAGAAGGCCCCCCAGTGCACTCAGCACCGCCGCTGACCCTGCTGACCCTGCTGACCCTGCTGACCCTGCTGCTTCTCCTGCTGCTTCTCCTGCTGCGATCAACTGAGCGATCGCGCGCGGAATATTTCCCCTTCTCCTCTCGCCGCTGCTTCCCCCTTCCTCCTCCTCCAGCTCTTCTCCACAGTCTCTGCCCTCAGCAACGCCACCACCCTCTCTTTCCGGAGCATAAAAGCGCTGTAACCATGCCGCTGTGGCGTCAGGAGCCCAGCAGTCGTCTACCCTCTCCCTCCAGTTCCACAGGGGCTGCCGACACGCGTCCGAGAGCGCCCGCAGCGTGGCAGGCGAGGGGCACGGTGAGGGGCACGGCGAGGGCGCAACAGCAGCGGGCTTATCAGCAGACGACAAGGAAGAGGAGGCAGGGACCCGGGGCAGCACGAGCTCCACAGGACGGAGCTCGGCTGTTAGGGAGCGCAGGCGCGTGCGAGCAGCGTCGTCAGGGAACTGACCCAGGGAGAACTGCCCTGTCGCTGCATCCACCACCGCCACTCCTATCACCACCGCTGCTGCTCCCCCCTCCTCCTCCCTCTCCTCCCCCGCAGGAGCTGCAACAGCAGTGGCGGCAGCAGAAACGGGAGAAGCAGCAGCAGCAGCGGCAGCAGCAGCGGGCCATTCAGTGAGGGCGAGGATGAGGGAGGAGTCAGGGGAGGCGGAGAGCATGCCAGCGTCCACGAGGGTGCCGCGCGACACCATGGCGCACACGGCCCGCCGCACCACCTTGTCCTTGCTGCCTGTCGCCCGCCGCCTCTGCTCCAGCTGCTCGGGAGTTTCCACCTGCTCCACCACCACCACTCGATAGCCCTGGAGGGTATGTGGGAGCACGGGAACAAGAGCAGGAGCAGGGGCAGGGGCAGCAGGAGCAGGAGCAGGAGCAGCAGCAGGGGCAGGGAAATCAGTGAGGGAGAGGATGAGAGCGGCATCAGGGGAGACGGAGAGCATGCCAGGGAACATGAGAGAGATGAGTGTCATCAGGCTGCAACACCAGCCTGCAACATGAGAAGAAACACCAGGCTGCTATGACCTGCTTTGTTGGCGTGTCATCCCTGCTCTCCCAACGCTCCCTTCACTTACAACGTTCACCCCATCACATTTATAACAATGTAGTATGCCTATTTCGAACACATTTGCCACTAACAGAGCGCGTCTCACCAGGCTGCAGTGGGCTGCTTTGTTGGCGTGTCGTGTCATCCCTGCTCTCCCAGTCTCCCTCTCACCTACAACGTTCACCCCATTGCTTATAACAGTGTAGTAGTTTGCCTCTCTCAATGTACTGACCTTGAGTGGGTGAGTAGCAAGAACCTGTCTCACCTTGAGAGCCAGTCTCTCTGCATTCTCTGCATAATTCTTCTCTGGGAAGCCACAGTGCGGCTGATCGCCCTGCAGAGATGGGAATATAGAGAGGGCAGACAGAGTCGAGTGGGCAACGGGGTCAGAGTGGGCAAGAGTGGGCAGAGTGGGCAGAGTGGGCAGAGTGGGCAGAGGGGTAAGAGTGGGCAGAGGGGTAAGAGTGGGCAGAGTGGGCAGAGTGGGCAGAGTGGGCAGAGTGGGCAGAGGGGTAAGAGTGGGCAGAGTGGGCAGAGGGGTAAGAGTGGGCAGAGGGGGGGTATTGCCGGCTGATGGAGCGAGTTAAAATGAACGAGGAGGACGAGCAAGTGGAAATGGACAGAGGCAGGAAATGGGCAGAAATGCAAAGGTACGAGAGGATGGTGCCACACTGGTTCAGTGTTCCACGTCGTCCCAGCACCCACCCACCCCAGCACCCACCCTGCCCAGCGCCCATCCTGCCCAGCGCCCACCCTGCCCAGCGCCCATCCTGCCCAGCGCCCACCCTGCCCAGCGCCCAGCCTGCCCAGCGCCCAGCCTGCCCAGCGCCCAGCCTGCCCAGCGCCCAGCCTGCCCAGCGCCCACCCACCACAGCAGGAACAGCGGCCCACCTTCATGTACTGCAGGTCGAGCTCCTTGGCGCCCACATGCGCGTCCATCTCAAATAGCTCGTAAAACTTGCCCATCTGCCATGGGGTAAGGCAGCAGCAGGGGCAGCAGTGGGGAGGAGGGGGTGGTAAGCGGCAGAAAGGTCAAGGAGGAGTGAGGAAAAGGACTTCCAGGATGAGATTTGCTAACGAGGGGAAAGGGGAGGAGGGACCTTGAGCAGCCTGGAGAGAAGGAGGGATGATGTTGCAGAGCAAGGGAGATCATCTATGCATGCACCGTGTATATGCATGTAATCGTATGGCATATGAGCAAGGTAGGGCAGGACAAGTTGGGTGCACCATGCTTGTAAGGTGCAGATGAGAGTGTGTGCGTGCAGCCACGTGGGTGCGTGGATGCTTGCACACATGCGTGCGTGCGTGTGTGCGCCAGAAGTGGGGAAGAGGGCGGAAAGGGCGCACCTTAAATAGCAACACTTTGTCCAGATGCATTGCCTTGAACTGCCACCATTGGCGCTGTTAGAGGAGTGCCACACGGGATCAAGGGAACAACGGAGGCGAGAATGCAGAATGCGCGCAAAGGAGGTGTAAGATACAGAAAACCAGTTCCGGAAGTGAGGCAACAGTTTCAAGTGTAAAGTGGGAAGGGATCGAGGAAAGAGGGGATGCAGGTATGCACAAGTTGACAGGGCACGAGTTGGAAGGGGAAGGGACATGAAACGGTTCAGTGCATGCTGAGGCGCAATGGACCATGGATTCATGCCACGTGCACAGATACGTGAATGGCATGTGCACACCACACGCACACCACACGCACACCACACGCATAGCGGCATAGCACATGCCACACGCACGCCACGTGCATGGAGATAATAAGCTGGTACCTGCCCCTCGGATAAGTTCTTGAGGAAAGCGTCTGGCAGGAAGAGAGTGGTGGGGTCATAGTCTGGATGGGATGGTGGCCGCCGCTTGCCGTCCCTGCGGTTCCTGGTGAATGAGACCAGACGACAGAGGGACGGACAGACAGACAAACGGACGTAGAGAGGAGAAAGCGTCTGGCAGGAAGAGAGTGGTGGGGTCATAGTCCGGATGGGATGGCGGCCGCCGCTTGCCGTCCCTGCGGTTCCTGGTGAGTTCAGACGGACAGAGGGACGGACAGGGGGACGGACAGGGGGACGGACAGACAGACGGGTTGGGAAGAGGAGACGGAAGAGGAGGGTGGTTGAGTGAACGCTGAGAAGATGGAGAGTGGGGGGGGGGGAGGTGGTGTGGGGTAAAAGATGCAGGGCAGAAACGATGGCAAATTGAAGTTGACCTAAACAGTTTGCACTGTTGCAGAGCATATCCCAAGTAGAAACCCTTCCATATTCCCCCACGCACATGTGCATGACCCCACGTGCATGACCCTACGTGCGTCAGCCCCTGCGCATGAGTCCGTTATGCATGACCCCACATGCATGAAGCGCATGTGCGGTGGAGCAGCAGCAGGGAGGGACGCACCGGAAGAGGAAGTCGAACTTGGCCTCCATGCGCCCACTGAACCGCTGCGCCGCCTCTCCTGCTAGCTCGGGGAACAGACCTGCGCGCAGGGGGGCGGCAGCAGGGGGCAGGGGGCACGGGGGCAGGGGGCACAGGGGCAGGGGGCACGGGGGCAGGGGGCACAGGGGCAGGGGGCACGGGGGCAGGGGGCACAGGGGCAGGGGGCACGGGGGCAGGGGGCACAGGGGCAGGGGGCACGGGGGCAGGGGGCACGGGGGCAGAGGGGAGGGAGCAGGGAGCAGCGAGGTGCGGCAGGGGGAAGGCAGACTGTTACAGCAGAGGAAGCTGATGCGTGCAGACAGAGGCAGGAAGAATTGATCCTCTACAAATAACCGACAGTTGCCCAGAGTTCATTCGCCTCTGCATTGCTTGCTCGTACAATCGTGCCCCGTTCCACTCACTGTCCAGAGCAGCTTCCATGCCCGCACTCCTGCTGCCTCCACCCACACCACCAGCAGTAGCAGCAGCAGCAGCAGCACCCTTGGCAGCAGGCGCAGTTACAGTAGGAGTGTTGGCAGCAGCTGCAGCGCCACCAGCAGTCGCACCAGCAGTCACACCCGCTCCAAGCATAGCCTTGCGAATCGCCGATCGTTCTGCATCCGTCACACCCCCTGCTGCTCCTCCCAGCCCCTCACACCCACCTTCCCCCTGACTCCCCTCTTTCCTCCTCCCTGCCACCACCACTTTCTCCTTGCCCTCGCCTGCAGAACTCCCCCCACGGCCACCCTGCGCGCTGCCTTTCTTTCCTGCTCCCGGACCTGCCTTCTTGCCCCGCCTCCCACCCTCCATTTCCTCCTCCTCCTCCTCCTCACCATCATCACTCGCAGTTCCGTCCACAGACCCTCCTTCCTCGTCTTCCTCCTCCTCCACCTCCTCCTCCTCCTCCTCCTCCTCCTCCTCCTCCTCCTCCTCCTCCTCCTCCTCCTCCTCCTCCTCCTCCTCCTCCTCCTCCTCCTCCTCCTCCTCCTCCTCCTCCTCCTCCTCCTCCTCCTCCTCCTCATCATCGTCATCATCATCATCGACCTCTTCCTCCACCTTCTTGCCCTTCCTCTTGACTTCTTCCAGCCAGTCCTCTTCCTCGCTATCTCCATCCTCATCGTCTTCCTCCTCCTCCTCCTCCTCTTCATCCTCATCATCATCATCAGAAGACTCGACTGCTGCCTCCTCCTGCTGCTGCTTCTTCTCCTTCGCTCCTTGCGCCGATACCTTTTTCCCCACCGCGCTGCCCACAACTTTCGCCCCCTCCTCATCTGCCACAACACGCCCCTTTCCAGCCGTCCGCTCGCCACCACCCTTCTCCCGCTTGCTTATCCCCCGACCTCCTCCCCCACCATTCCCTCTCTCTCCGGCTTCTCCACCCGCCGTTTCCGCCTCCGCATCATCCGCCCCCAATCTCGCCCCTACCCCCTTCTTCCGCGCACCAAGTGTCGTCGCCACGCCACCACCAGAGCCCCCCACCCATCTCACCTTTTCCTTCGCCAACACCACCATCTCTGTCTCCCCATCATCATATAACACCTCATGCTTGCCCGTTTCCTCCTCATATCCCGCAACCATGCCCGCATACCACGCCGCATCGTCCGGCCAGTACACCTCCACCCTCCTCCCCACTGCACCGGCTTTTTCCTCGCCCTTCCCATCCTCGTTACTAGCCTCCTCCCGTCCCCGCTTCCGAGTCCCCTTGCCTCGTGTTCCCTTACTGCTCCAACCGGCCGGCAAACTCACGGCCTTTCCACTCGTCTCCTTCATTATCTCGTCTCTTCTTTCGACGCCCTCGCCTCCTCTCACCGCCTCTCCGGCTCGATCCCGCTCAACGCCTCCTCCCACTTGCTCTACCAGCTCGCCGCCGCTCTCCTGGGAACCCCCCACGTTACTCCTTCCCCCCGGACGCCGCCGCAGGCTCCGCAACCTGCCCGCGGGGAGCAGCGAACCGGACAAGTCCGATCCTAAAGAGCCCATCGAGAGCGAGCCGTCCCCGCCCGCCACATCCACGCCTCCTTGCGCATTCTCCTCCGCCGCCCCTTCCGCCAGCCCCTCCGCCTTCACGGCGGTTTTTCCGCCGTGGACTTCAGTCGCCGGAGCAACGTCGTCGTCTCCTCCTGCATTGCCCTGTCCGCCCGCCAGTGGAGGGATCTGAAGCGCCACCTTGCGCGAATTGGCTCCGCGCTCGTCTCCGGGTCGCTTGATTTTTTCAGCCGGGTCGTCGGTCCAGAGAAGCTCGTCATCCTTCGATTCTTCGGAGTTGCTTGTCCGCGCCTCAGCGCGCACCAAGGTTCCTCGGTGACCTCCACCCTTTCCTCCTACCGCAGATTTCAAAACGCGACGGGCGTTTCGATTAGCCGTCAAACCGGGCGAGGCCTTGTGATTCCGTGCACGTCCATTGGGAGAATCAAGGTTGCTCCCATCAGTCTTATCAGTTGGTTGGACGTCCTCTGCGGCTGTTGCTGGAATTGAGTCATGCGTGGCGGTGACGGAAAGTTTTGTCGCCCTTGAGGGCGAGAAGAACGATGCGATAGAGCGCTGCTGATGGCGCTTCTGCTTCTGGAGTTCTTGCGGCGAAAGGAGCAAGCCAGAAGGTCGAGCACCTCCAGAAACGCGGCGGGAGGGGCCCATGCCTGGAGAGATATCTGCGTTGAGAGTCGCTACGAATGTTAAAGGAAAAGCATGGCAGACGAGACTAAGTTGATGAAACGTGTGATGAAGGCGTCTCAATCAAGTGACCTGACCAGGTTGGTTCTTCATGGTTTTGAGTGGGAGGAGTGTGGCCTGTGCTGTGTGGCTTTCGCGCCAAAGGTTTGGGCGTTCAAACTTGTGAATTCAAAACTAGTGTTTCTGGTGCACCTCTTTCCTGTGTAACCTTATAGCGAAATTGTACAACTGTTGCAACGCAAACAGTCAAAACACAAATCTCGTATGCGACTCGTTGGCTTGGAGATATAGGCTCGGAATAGGGTGCACCGCAATGCCACTCACCCGTGAGCCAAAAATGTTTCCTACACGCTGAGGCTGCACCATATCGCAATGTTTCTATTTTATGGTACGTGCGACATTGTACGTAATCTATACACTTTTTATGTAGCAGGTTCATACGGCTCGCCCCGAAGAAAACAGGTTCTTGTTTCAACTATCTTCCGAGACCAGTCATTTGGTACGGACAAGATTAAGGTTTCGCGCGGCGAATGCAACCAATCACAATCACGCCACCAGCTCACGTAGCACGAGCCGTCTTTCTTTCCAATTGGGCATGGTCCTGCAAACCACACTACTAGTCCCCCAAACGAACGACTAGCTTTTCACAAGCCATTAATCGAAATCCCGGGGTTCTTCATGCTCCCAAGCAAGGCTGTCCGTTCGATTCGCTCTCTCACAAGTATTGAGGGCCCTTGCAAGCGCCCATCTCGAGATGAGTTTGCGGAAGCGCGCACGTGAGCCACGCCGAGAGAGGAGGAAACGAAGGAGAGACAACATCCATTCTCCCCATTCTCCCGATTCTCGAGCAATCCCCCGCAGCCCCCCTCTCCTCTCGACGTGAATCCGAGCGGCAGCAGGAGCAGCAGCGCAGTTGGGATGGTCCCTTTCATCCCTCCTCCCCCCTTCTTGCTCCCTCCCGCCCGCATCTCGGAATCCCGCAACGCAGCTCTCGGTGCAAACCTGCATGACACCCCTCGCCTCCTCTCCTTTCCTCTCCTGCCCGATTTCGTACTCGCTGCCCTGCGCCTCGACTCGCCTCGTCCCCTCTGCCTCATTTGCATCCCTCCCTCCCCTCTTCTTCTCTGGATCATTCGTGCCTGTCCACATCCACCTCTGTTCCACGGACAAACCACGACGCGAAATTTCTGACCAGCGAAATCTCGACACGGGAAATTGAATTCAGGATCTGTCCCTCCCCTCACGTTGCTGCCACTCCAGCCCCCTCTCTCGCCCTTCCTCCGTCAGGAACACGCGTTTCCGCATCGTTCTCTCAACCCCTCTTCCGCATCGTTCTCTCAACCCGTCAGTTGTTGCGATCCCTCCGCTCCTCGCACACTCGATCGGGCAAAATCTGTGTTCGTTTCTTCTTCCAAGAACCAAGATGGCACCCTGCGGGCGCCTCGGGCGTGCCTCGTGAGCTATGCACGCTTCGTCCCGTCCGCGACCGCTGTGCGAGCTGTCGATTTCTCCTGTCGTGCGCCGAGGTTGCAAGTCTGTCTACGGAGGAACGTCAGAGGCACCGCAGCAACCAAAGGGGCAAGCGCAACTGTGAGACTCACATCATTCTTCCGAGATCGCCATGGCGCCTCGACGCTCGGTTCCCTGCTGCCCATCGCCTTCCGCCGCGTCGCACTGACCGCTGCCTCCGCCCGTCCACGCTTCCGCCTCTCTCCTCCGCTTCCGCCGGATTTCCCCGCCCCCGGTGCGCGCCCGTTTCCGCCGCGCGGGCTCCCTTCTGGGCCTCCCGTCACTTCTGACGGGCAAATTTCCGCGCGGGTTCTTCCCGCCGATCCGCGCGCTCCGACTGCCGGTTTCCATTCTCTGATCTGAAATCGCGGGGGCAGCGGCGGGCGGCACATGGGTCGAGCTGAGTTGCTCCGCGCGATCGTCTCGCAGCGGGGCGGACGCGCTGGATGCCATGTCCGGTGCCCGCCAACCTAATAATCTCCCCGCTTCCGCTTTCCCTTCCGCTTCCGCGTCTGCGGCTGCGTCCGCTTTCCCGTTTGTTCCAGTCTCCGCTTTAGTTTCCGCTTTCCCCAACGCGTCAGCTAACAAAGCCCACAAAGGCCCCGCCACGCCCCCCCCCCCCCTTCGCTGCTCCTCCCTCGGCCTTCGACCCGCCCGCGATCCCCCCCGCCACTACTCTCGCCCTTGCGCCCGCGTCCGCGCCAGCGTCGGCCGCGGTCCCCCGAAGCTCTCTCTCCGCCGCCGCCGCCGCCGCCGCTGCCTCCGCCGCTTCCGCTGGTGGCGCGCCGTCGTCCGCGGCGACGCCTGGCGCGTTGGCAGCCCTGGTGGCGCGGCGCGAGAAGCTGGAGGAGCAAGTGGCGAGTGCGGAAAGACAGGTCCGTGCGGGCGCGCGCGCGCTAAACCCTTTAGAGCCCATGCCTGGAATGATGGGGTTGCTGGGGTGATGAAAGTACTGGGATGGTTAGGGCAGCGCCTGTTGCGCATCGTCGGTAGAGCTTTTGTGCGGCGTTGTTTTTTCAGCTGCAGGCGGACCGGAAATGAGCCGAGTGACGCCAAGCCCGGAGAGCAGAGCAGCGCTGCTGAGAGTGCGGAAACCCTAGATTTCCTCTGCGTTCGCGCCAATCACCCTCTCTCGTTCTCCCTCCTTGTTGTGTGTCCACCTCCTTTCCTCCCTCACGTGCCCGCCTCCTTTCCCCCCGCCACGTGTACCCGTCCGTCCTCTCCCCCGCGCCGCAGCATACCGGATGAAACCCGCATGTAGTGAGGCGATTTTTGAGGCGCCTCAAAAATCTCATCCTTACACCGCCCTCTTTCCCCCCCAAACACACACGTGTTACCATCCTCTTTCCCCCCCTTTCTCCCCCGTGGCGTGTGGTGAGAGCAGCTGTTCGATCTGGAGACGGCATACCTGCACGACTCGGCGCACACCGGCAGCGTTCCCCACATGCCCCCCTCCTTTTCCCCCTCCGCGTGCTCCTGTCCCCCCCCCTCCCCTTGCGCCGTGTGGTGAGAGCAGCTGTTCGACCTGGAGACGGCATACCTGCACGACTCGGCGCACACCGGCAGCGTTCTCAGAGGCTTCGACTCCCTTCTTGCCGCTCCTAGAGCCGCCAGCAGGTGCCACTCCCTACTCTCCCCCCACTATCACCGTTCCCACTGCGTCCGCTTCGCTGTCTGCTTCCGCCTCCACTTTCAGCCCACCAATTCCCGTTTACCTTTCCCCTTGCCTTCCCTTTTCACCGTTTTTGTCTCTCCATTTCTTGCTCCTTCGCACACCCTTGTGCACCGCACGCACACATGCTAGCTACCCACTGGTTGCCAGCTCAACCTGTTGCCAGTCCCTCGCCTTTCTTCCTGCACACTCACTCATCCCACTCGCCTTTTTCCAAGTCAACTCAAACAGTGCCTTTTCCCCACATCCCTTCCGCATGCACCCACACCCCGCCTCCCCGTATCCGTTCTTCCCCATCCTTCCTTCCTTCCGTCCTGCCACATCAGCAGCATGAAGCGTCCGAGAAAGTTCCTGGCAGAGGATCGCCTCTTCTCGCTGTCATCGTGCACATCATCTGCTGTATGTCACGTGGCCCTTTGGAGAACTCTCTGCTGCACTGCCTTTGCCATTGACTTCTCTTCATTCTTGCTTCCTCTGAACCATTGCCAACTCAACCACGTTCCGTTCCAATGCCTTCTCTCCACACTCCATGTATCCCCACTACCCTAAACCCCTGCTCTCACCCCCTGCTCTCACCCCCTGCTCTCACCCACGTGTGGCTATGCCAGGCTGAGGAACAAGCGACTGGGAGAGACGCAGGTGTGCCACCCACCCCTTCCTTTGCCTTGCCCCCATGTTCTTTCTGTTCACCACATCTGCTGTTCGCCACCGCACTGAATACCACCACACTCAACATCACCACTCTGCACACATACGCCCCTCTCTTTGCATCTTGCCATCCCTCCTCCCCCAACCTTCCCAGCTGCTTCCTGCCACTCCCATCTGCTTCTCCCTCCAACCCTCAACCGCTCTCACTGCCCGCATGCCTCATCATTCCCTAAACATAAACTCCACCAGACGGCCGCTCTGATCTGCATGTGCTCTTCTCCTCTCGTTCCAAGTCCAGTGGCGCGCCTGGTAACGGCCCAACGTGAGCCCCCGTGCTCTGTGCTGCTCTCTGCTGTTGTCTTTGCAATAGTCACTGTTTCCCCTCATCCCATCCCCTCTCTCCCCCCTCCTTAACGCAATCTCCTTCGAGCAACTCCCTACTTTATGCTCCCCTGGGCACATTCCCCATGCTTGTGCCCTCCTTTCCTTTCCTGCCCTCACTCCCATCTCCTGCCTTCCTTCCCCTGCCCTACTTCTCACGCAGGCAGAGGAGAGGGCGAGGGGCAACGCCGCGGGAAGGCAAGAGGCTGAGGCAGCAGGTGGAGCAGGTAGAGCCGGAGGAGGAGGAGGAGGACTGCGTGCTCTGACTGCTGCCATGCCATGCCATGCCACGCCGTGCCATATGCAGCACCATGCCGTGCCATGTGGGGTGTTGATAGCTGGTGCTGCTGCAACAGGGCGTTTGTGACTCTGCTCTTTCATGCATCCCATCCCAGGCTGTGGGTTAGCTATGTGTGTGCCATGCTGCATTCTTGGAGCCATGTTTCCTAGACATTGGGTGAGGAGCAGGAACAGGAGGGCTGCACCAGGGAAGTGCATGGAGTTGGGTCACCAACAGGAGGAGGTGCTGGAGTGTCATGCAGAGACAAAGCTACAGCCAGTCATGGAGCAGCTGGATCAAGTAACAAGGCGTTGGACTGAAAGTCATTCGGCCTAACCGGGCAAAGCACTAGCAAGGCATGGCATGAGAGGGAGGAGGGGAAGAGGGTTGGAATGGAGAAGGGGAGAGGTAGAGGAAGGGAAGAGTGGTAGAAGAGGGGGAACAAGCAAGGAGCAACGGGTGTGCAGGTGTGGGTGTGGATGGGATGGATGGGTGAGAGCTCATGACAGCGAAGGGGAAAAGCTGCAGTAGTAGTTGCGGCCTTCCCTGTGAAGGAATTTGGGAGAGGAAGTGAGAAATGAGAGAGCCTGGTGGTTCCGAGCAGTGTGGAAATAGGACTGCGGAAGCATGTGTCTGTTGTGCAGTCAATGGAGGGGGTGGCAGGATCACCTGGCAGCACTTGATCTTCTTTCACTCGACGACGCTCTGTTCCTGCAAACCAGTTCCTGCAGATGACAGCATCAAGTTCCAACTCTGCCATGCCCATCACAGCGCCAGCTAGATTGTATGCCACGTCCTTCAGTTTACCTAGTGGTAATCATTTGTGAAGTTGCTGTAGGCTCACTTCCTTAAGTTTACCTAGTGGTAATCCCATATCAGCTAGCTTACCAAACTAAACTGATAGGAAACATGAAGATCGGGATGTACAAGCCTAACTACTGAGCATGTATCGGTATGACGACGTGCATCAAGAGACACACAGCACCCCTTTGACACGTATGTTTAGGAACATGGTGCCAAGCATACGTACTAGTTTCCCTCCCGCCCCCTTTCCTTTTTAAAGCTCGCGTCTCGTATTTCTGCCATCCAACCAAGTGTTAAACGGTTGGAATCCGGTAACAGCAGAGTTTGTCGCAAAGCACACCAAAGCAAGGGGTGGGTTGGGAAAGTTGGCTGTCGCACACTTCCCCGTGCACCCCAAGTGTTAACAACTCTCGAAAATATGAGACTCTGAACTCAACGTTGACAGAACCCGGGACCAAACCTGTCCCCCTTGGCTTGTTTTCCACCCAAACCAACCCACCCTGGTTTGTTTTGGCCTCGACTGTTTGGGAGTTCGCTGTGTTTTTTTCACCCACTCGTCAAATAATTCGTCATTCGTTACCCAATCACAGACGGGAAAACCCAACCAAGTGTTAAAGCCAGGATCTCAAGTAAGAGAAATTGGGATCAATTGCAAAACAGTTGACGCTCAGTTACCCCGTTTCTGTATGCGAAGTAGACTGGTTGGCTAGGCAGTTTGGCGTGCGACACTCCCAAGCTTTTGCCCCAGCACCAAATGCAAAACAATTTCAGAAACATGAGACTGTCGGCAAATTTGTGGCATTCTAGCTTCGGATCCGAACCAAACTCCATGCCTACAAGGTTCGGACACACACAAACGAGTTCAGTTTCCTTCGCACCCCTCGCTGCACCCCTTGCACCTCGTCGACCAATCGCAGCCAAGCTCCAACCATCAACTGCAAAACATTTGTGGTACTTGAGATCCTGGCTTTAAAAGGTTGGAAATCTGGACGCGAGCTTTAAGTCCCATGTCACTCAACTATAGAGCTGACCATGATTTATTAGATATTATAACTGGGTATATACAAAAAAACTTGTCACCACCAACTTGCTACATTGGGACTGGGCCAAAAGAACTAAACGAAGCAAGACATAAGGCAACAGGGAGCGGAATGGAAATCGCAGCAGGCGACAGAAACTTCAGGAGGAAAAGAGGTTGACAGCGGCACAGCTGCTAAAACGTATCGCTTGGCCCATCCAGAGGCTTCTGCAGCTGCTACCATGATGGAACACAGACCCACCCTGATGTGGCGCGATATACCATGTCAACGGGATGATACGACATGCTGAGACCCTTCACTCTATGCGATGACAAACGATGGGATGTGATGGCATGATGAGATGGCATGACTGGACATGGGAAAGGGATGGACGGGATGAAATGATGTGTATGCGCTTCACTGGAATGCCGTGCTGCGAGAGACGACCCTGCGTGACGTTTCGCCGTGGCACAGCATTGCGTTGCAGTGCGTCAAAGAAGCGGCTTGTGAATGGGCTTTCTACATATGGAACTTGGCAGCACGCCATTGCAGATGGACAGCAAGCGGTTGTCCAGGTGAGGATGAGAAACAAAATGGAAAAGAGCTCTTCAAGGGAGGGAAGCGTCTTGGCAATTGTCAGTTTCAACCATTAAGCGGCCTGCTCAACACAATAACAAAAGGGTATGGAGAGCAAGGGGGGGAAAAGGTGAGCGACAAGTACGACGCAAGGGGAGCCGGGCAGGAGAAAAGCAAACACAGTTGGTGAAAACAATGATAGATACGTAAGTAACCTAGGCAATAGGCTGACCGAGTTAGGATCATTGACTCAATTATATTCAGGTAAATTCAGAAAACGGCGAGAAATGAAAAATGAGAAGCGTGGACTAACCTGCATAGAGACAGCAGATAACCTGCTTAGCCTGGGAGTTCTTGCAACACGATCTCTGCAGTCGCTTCTTCCGTTCGATTTGGGCTCAGGCGATGCGGCTTTTTGCGAGGAAATTGCGCGGGCCCGGTGGAAACGGCAACGGAAAGATCCGGGGTGGTTTGTAGGAGCACACAAGCACACCGCACGAGGAGAATTTTTAGCATTTCGTTCGGGGGAAGGCGATGTCGTTGACTTTGTTGACTTGGCAGACATTGCGGAAATCGTCTGCTTCTCTTGCTTCATTTTCTTGGCGGGGCTAGTGGGGGAAGAAGCTAAGCTGGAAGTGATGCTTTCAGTTTCTCTCATATTACCACCACTTGAAGCGAGGTTATTTTGCTTCAGCACGGATTTTAGCAGGCTGGAATGCATAGTGAGCGCGACGGTATGTCTTTTTTATCTCGTACTAAAATATCTTGAATATCCGTTTCGTGAGCAGACTGACCTGGTCTTAGAACCTTGTCACTACGGGGCGCATTAGGATGCTAGGTGATTCTGATGAGAGTAGGTGTAGCTTTTCTAGGTCATCAGCTCAATTGAGGGCGAATCGCGGGGCTTCCTTCCCTGAGACGCCACAGTACTGTGATGTGAAGGCAACCCGCGAGCCGGTCGTGTCGGGACGGGAGGGCGGAAATCAACGCCGCAGCGGTCAGTTCCCCAAATGGGCACTCCACGGGAAGAATCGAGGTGGTGTGGGGAAAGGGGGTGTGGGGAATGGGGAGGTGGGGGGGGGGGGGGAGAAGGGGGTGGGGCGGGCGGTGGGGTTGAGAGGAAGGGGGAACCTGCAGGCGTTGTTCCCAGTTTTTGGCGCAACTCGCAACGGCTTTCAACGAGGAAGGCGCACGGGTAGCGCCGTAGGAAACTACTCGCGGTGCGAAGGCTTCTTGGATGGCGGAGTTTCAGCTGCACGGGGCAGCAACCGAGGGAGAATAGCGGTCAGACTAGCTGCAGCCCGCGAAAGAGTTAAATGTTTGACGCCGGGTTCTGACTGGATAATTGCGGACAGTTGAACAAAGTGGACGAATGGTGGGCTTCTGATGGAACGGTCGGGCATCGTTTCGCAAACCGTGAACGTCACGTTATGGATGGAGCGAGCCACTTCACTCGCCATTGTCGCGTCAGTTTTGCCTGTCTACCGTGGCTAATCGATTTTGCATCAGTGCGCAATGAAGCAGCTGGTTATTGGTAGAAGCCTTCAGCCATTTGGCGCGCGATAATTGGTTTTTGAAGCGAAAGCCAATTGTTAAAGAACATCACCCACAATCACCGCTTTCGTGGTAAGAGAATGCTCCAGAGATTGTAAAACCCGCAAATCACGGGTTGCAGACCCACAAAAACAGCAACTCGATTTTTACCTTGCTTCGAGAGATCTCTCCAGAGAGTTCGCACGTTTTCCACAGATCCGGAAAGGCAGCCTGTAAGAGAACACAACACACCTCCATGTCTGGGGGATCGGATAAAAGTGATAAGGACGTTGATGTGTATCTTGCTGGATGGATTTTGAGCTCATCTTTATATCCTACTTCAACAAAATAGGGTTTGCAGGTGTTGTGGAATACTACATAACCCTGAACCCTCCATCCTTATCAAATATATTTGTTTCCAAAAGTTTTATATTTCGAATACCCGTGAAATTCAGCATTATACACCAAGAAGTGTACGTAAAAGAAAAACAGTAGGAATGCATAAAATGAATACATCGACTTTATTTTTTCCCTGATATTTATTGATCATCCAAGCTATGGAACAAGTGCATGCTAAACCATTTTCCACTCTCTACCCAATAACGATTTTCATTCTTGGCCAGTAACTATGCACTTGGTAGCAGGTGTTGCTCATTGACGGTGAAATGACGTCACGGGCGTCTTGTGCTGAGCATCACAGATTCGAAACCATTTGGCTTTAGTACCACTATCGTTTCACCCTAGAAACCCACTCCTACATCCTCATCCAGCCACTAAACTGTTTCTACCCGCGGCTGCCTTTGGTGCTTCATGCAGCCGAGAAAGAAATTAGTATTATTGGCGGCGGGTGTGAACGTCGTGCAGCATTTCGTAGCTCCCTCTGCAGCGAAGCTTCACACTGGATACACCAGCCTCTCGCTCCACTCCATTAGCCCTAAGTCACAAAACGGAGCTACAAGGCTGGTCATACATGCTCTTAAAGCCGTCCACTACTTTTCGACGTGCGTATTGCGGCACCCTCATGCCGAAGTTGCGTATGGTTGAATCCAATCCCTTCTCCCTTAGCGTGTTCCACAAGCCGCTCCCTGCCGTATTCTCCCCTGCTCATTTCAAACAAAACTTCTTGTTATAATACTACCGCTGAGCTTCACTACTCTGCTTAGGGTTATATCCGTGTTCTTATATCAAGAATGAGCGACGTGCTTCGGTTCTCAGCTTTCCCGTGCTGTGCCATACCATTCCCCATTCCCCAGTAACGAATGACACGTCAGCACGAAGCCGGCAGTAACACCCGTGGGAGAGCTGACGGCCGGCTGACGAGCTACCGGACCGGCATCTGACCGGCAAAACTCCGTCAGCAGTGCCTTGGACGTTTCCAGCAGCGCTGGGCGAATCTGCCTGGTCAGGTTCTCCTGTCACTGCAGCTGTCTGTCCCCGCCGCTACAATGATTCCCAGCCCGCCTTTTTCCGCCTCCCCGATCCCCGCTGGCTCAGTGGGCGCGGCGCTACCGTACAGCAATAATGGCTCCGCGGAGGTGAGCGCTGACACGTCTGAAATCTCGAGTATTCTCACGCGGTTTTCATGCGGGGAAGCTGGCTCAGTGGGTGCTGTGCTAGCGTACAGCAGTAATGGTTCTATCGTCTCTCCTCAGCCCTCCTCGTCTCTCCTCCCCTCTCCTCGTTTCTCCTCCCGTCTCGTCGTCTCTCCTCCCCTCTCATCGTCTCTCCTCCCGTCTCGTCGTCTCTCCTCCGCTTCCGCCCCCCATCGTTCGCTCGCTTTCCCTTTCGCCATCACCAGGTGTCCCCGTCCTCAGCGTCATGGCAGTGGGATCCCATCGGCTTCTGGGACGACCCTCCTGCTCCGCTTCTGCAGCCTCCTCCAAACTCTTCGCTTCCTGCCTTCCCGTCCTCTGGCCCTGCGCCACTTCCATCATCACTCGAATCTGCTCCAGCTTTCACTTCAGGCATACCGTCCACTGCAGCTGCCGTCACTTTCGCACCACCTGCTGCCACTTTCACACCACCTGCCTTCGCTGCTCCTGCTCCCGCTTCCATACCGTCCTTTGAAGGGAATCTTTCATCTCCGTTATTAGCCTCCCAAATAAGCGGCCTTGCCGGCCAGTCGCCTCACTTTGAGCCCATGCAATTCCCTGCAGGCAATGCATCCGCTGCGGCTCCTGCCACCACAGCCTTTGCTGCTGCATCTGCTCCCGCCGGAGGGGGGAGTGGGGGTTACAGCGCACTGCTTTCCGATATGTCGTTTCTGGACTCAGTTCCGGGACCAGGGAACGCGGCAGGGCCAGGGGCGGCAGCTGTGGCAGCAGGTTCCGGACTGCCGTGGGGGGCCCTGGCGCCGGACGGCGACTGGTGGCTGCATATGGCGGATAGGGCGGCAGCGGCGCTGTCGCATGAGTTGAATGCGGATGGGGGAGTGGGAGGGGGGGGAGGAGGGGGAGGAGGAGGAGGTGGAGGAGGAGGAGGAGGAGGAGGAGGAGGAGGAGGAGGAGGAGGAGGAGGAGGAGGAGGAGGAGGAGGAGGAGGAGGAGGGGGAGGGGGGGGGAGGAGGGGGAGGAGGAGTAGGAGGAGGAGGAGGAGGAAGAGAGGGAGAGGAGTGTGTGGGTTTTGAGTCAGGCGAAGGTGGAGGTCCTGGGTTGATGGCAGGGGTTGCAGCTGTAAATCCTGGAGCTTGTATAGGGGCTGCAGGGACTGCAGGAACTGAGGCTCACATGATGGGAGCTGCACAGCAGCAGCAGCAGCAGCAGCAGCAGGAGTATGTATCCCTGCAGCAGCAGATAGTGCAGGAGGCATCAGCGGCGGCTGTCATAACCGCCGACTCACGAGCAACGCCTGTGACAGAATCAGCCATGCATTGCCCCGTGCCCCACGCAGTGCAGGGCGGTGGCGCATGCAGCATGGCGGCGTTTGGCAGCATGGACTCGTTCTCAGGAGAGGCTCGCGTAGTGGCGCGCTTCAGTCAGTTGTGTAACGAGGCTGCTGCTGATGCTGCCTCAGGGGGAAGTGCGGGAGTGTGCAGAATGGAAGCGGCAGAGGCGGAAATGCGGGGTGAGAGAGAGGCGCAGCAAGTGCAGGTGCCTGGGATACCTCCGCAGCCAGAACAGGCGTGGCGGGTTTTGGTGCAGGGGCAAGGTCAGCTTCTAGGGCAGCCACAAATGCACGGGCACATTCAGTTGCAAGAGCAAGGGCAAAAGATGCAGGCAGCAGCAGTGGCGCAGTATCAGCAAGATGCAGTGCAAGCAGCGCTTAGCGCGGAGTGGCAGCGCGGCGCTTCACAGAAGGCGTTGTATGACGCTGCCAACGATGCGGGGCGTCCCCAACCCATCCCTGGTGCTGCTGTTTCCGCTGCTGCTGCTCCTGTTTCTTACTCTGCTGCTCCTGCTGCTGCTGTTGATGGTGGTGGTGGTGGTGGTGGTGGTGATGGTGCTGCTGGAATGGGGGGGAGTGGGCGCACTGTTGGGAGTTCAAGTGCTGCTGATGCGTGTGCGCGTTGCAAATGCCAGGTGGGAAAAGCGGGCGGAGTTGGTGGTGGTGGGGAGGGTGGAGGAGGGGGAGAAGGAACAGGAGGAGCAGCAGCAGCAGGAGGAGGAGGAGAAGGAGGAGCAACGGCGAGTGACAGTCAGAGTAGGCCCAGGTTATCTCTGGCAGAACGGCTGGCAGCAGCATTGGGGGAGGAGTTTGGCGCTGACACAGGGGAGAAGGAAGAGCCAGCTAAGCCAGACGAGGATACAGGGAAGAAAGGGAGAGGGCGAGGTAGGGGCAGAAAGCGGGAGAGAAGCAAACCCGTGGCTACTACAGTTGGTCCTACGGCAGGCTTTTGGGCTGCACTCGGGGTGATGGAGCAGGACGGAAGGGGGAGGCAGGGAAAGAGGCCCGCTGAGGAGAGTGCGAGTGGTTGGAGCGGGGGAGGGTTAGGGGAGGAGTGGAAAGGGGTGATGGGGCGTGCAGGCGTGAGCACAGGGGGTGGGTCTGGGTCGACTGAGTTGGCAGGGGTGGCGGGGGCGAGAGCGGCAACAGGCACAGGGGGAAGGATGGGTCATCCTCATGGTGAGGGTGTGATGGGGGTAGGAGAGCGAGGTGCAGTGGGGTGTGGTGGGGTGTGCGGGGGTAATGAGGTGAAGGTGGCGAAGCAGGAGGTTATGGTTGGTGTATCTATCTTGGGGGGAGGAGACGGGGTTCAGCACGGGGAGGTGCAGGGGGGAGGAGGAGGAGGAGGAGGAGGTGGTGTAGGCAAAGCAGGAGGGGTGAATATCGCGAATAACGTGAATAATGTGAATAGGTCATTTCCTCCTGTTTATTCTGGCCTGTTGAACCCTGTGTTGCACCCTTCCCCGGTGCCGCCGCCTAGTCAGCTCCCTCCATCTCCATCGTATGGCGATGCGGTATTGACAACGGGAAGTGAGGAACCAGGGGGGCGGCTGGGAGATGGGAGTGCCAAGGAGTGGCGCAGCAGCAGTGGCAGCAGTAGCGGAGGCAGCAGCATGGGGAACCTTAAGGAAGAGATTATCCGTAATGACGCGTCTGTTTCTCATCCGTCCATATCTCCTGCTGTATTTTCCAAGACCCCTGCCACCACTCCTGGTGTGAACCCTACTGCCCCTGCTGCCACTCCTGCTGCCACTCCTGCTGCCACTCCTGCTGCCGCTCCTGCTGCCGCTCCTGCCGCTGCCAATTGTGCGGTTACTGCGAATGGAGCACACAAAAGGGAAGGCTTGGAAGGGGTACAAGGCGTGAGTAGTGGAGCACTGACTGATGTCACTTCCACTGCTGCTGCTACTGCTGGTGCTGCTGCTGGTGCTACTGGTCCTGGTGGTGGGTCGTCTCAGGGTGCAAAGGGGGAGGCGGGCAAGGCAGGCAGCAGATCACGTGCCCTGGAGCACCCGTTGCTGGCACGCATATGGCAGCTGGCGGAGCTCGTAGCCATGGGGGAGGACGAGGTGAGGCGGGCAAGGGCCGTGCATGCATGCATGCAGCCTAGTTTTGAGGCGCCTCAAAACTAGACCCGTTGCTGGCACGCATATGGCAGCTGGCGGAGCTCGTAGCCACGGCGGAGGACGAGGTGAGGCGGGCAAGGGCCGTGCATGCATGCATGCAGCCTAGTTTTGAGGCGCCTCAAAACTAGACCCGTTGCTGGCACGCATATGGCAGCTGGCGGAGCTCGTAGCCACGGCGGAGGACGAGGTGAGGCGGGCAAGGGCCGTGCATGCATGCATGCAGCCTAGTTTTGAGGCGCCTCAAAACTAGACCCGTTGCTGGCACGCATATGGCAGCTGGCGGAGCTCGTAGCCACGGCGGAGGACGAGGTGAGGCGGGCAAGGGCCGTGCATGCATGCATGCAGCCTAGTTTTGAGGCGCCTCAAAACTAGACCCGTTGCTGGCACGCATATGGCAGCTGGCGGAGCTCGTAGCCACGGCGGAGGACGAGGTGAGGCGGGCAAGGGCCGTGCATGCATGCATGCAGCCTAGTTTTGAGGCGCCTCAAAACTAGACCCGTTGCTGGCACGCATATGGCAGCTGGCGGAGCTCGTAGCCACGGCGGAGGACGAGGTGAGGCGGGCAAGGGCCGTGCATGCATGCATGCAGCCTAGTTTTGAGGCGCCTCAAAACTAGACCCGTTGCTGGCACGCATATGGCAGCTGGCGGAGCTCGTAGCCACGGCGGAGGACGAGGTGAGGCGGGCAAGGGCCGTGCATGCATGCATGCAGCCTAGTTTTGAGGCGCCTCAAAACTAGACCCGTTGCTGGCACGCATATGGCAGCTGGCGGAGCTCGTAGCCACGGCGGAGGACGAGGTGAGGCGGGCAAGGGCCGTGCATGCATGCATGCAGCCTAGTTTTGAGGCGCCTCAAAACTAGACCCGTTGCTGGCACGCATATGGCAGCTGGCGGAGCTCGTAGCCACGGCGGAGGACGAGGTGAGGCGGGCAAGGGCCGTGCATGCATGCATGCAGCCTAGTTTTGAGGCGCCTCAAAACTAGACCCATTGCTGGCACGCATATGGCAGCTGGCAGAGCTCGTAGCCACGGGGGAGGACGAGGTGAGCTTTTGAGTTGACTAAACAATCAGCCGGCGGACGGAGCTAGTAGCTGCACGGCTGAGGATGAGGGGAGGTGGGCAAGGGCCAGCCGCGCATGCATGCATGCAGCGGTCAGGCTTGGCTACCAGGAATGAGTGAGGATTCTGGGTTTGGCTGGTTGGTTGGGGGTTGAGGTTACGCGATGAGAACGTTTATGTTTTCTGTTCCACTGTGTTTGTTTCTTTGGTTCACCTGGCGGTGCTTCCTCACATTCTCACGACAAACTCGTCATTCAGTAACCCCCCTACCCCACCCTCCTCCTGAACCACTACCCATCGCCTCCTACACCTCACAACCGCCCTCCCCATCCCCGCTCCTCTCCCTCTTCCCCCCCACTCCCCCCACCACCTGCGTCTCCTGTTGTCTCCCCTTGCGTGTGCGCCGCGCCACCGCTTGCCCGTGCAGGCCACGATCCGGCAGAAGTGTGAGGAGCTGCTGCCGCTGGTGAGTGCGCGCGGCAGTGCGGAGCAGCGCGTGGCGGTGTACTTCCTGGAGGGCCTCATGGCGCGCATCAATGGCGAAGGCGCCCTGCACTGGAACTCCCCCAACGTGCCGCCCCACGATGTATGTCTTCTCTCCGTCCGTCCGCCTGTGTCTCTGTCTCCTGTCTTCGCGAGGGCCATGTTGGGCATATCAGCGTGCACATGCTGCACCACCAGTTGCGCTGCGCGTGAAGTGACATGATTCCCCGGGCGTCTCAAAACCCCTCTCTCCCCATCCCCCACTCTTGCAGGACTTCATGAGGGCCATGTCGGACATATCAGCGTGCATGCCGCACCACCGCTGCCGCATCAAGTGACACGATTCTTGATGCGCATCAAAAGCTTATTCCTCCTCCCTCTTCCCTCTCTCCTCGTACCCCACCTGCGCAGGACTTGATGCGGGCCATGTCGGACATATCATCATGCCACCTCTTGCGCGTGAAGTGACACGATTCTTGATGCGCCTTACTAAAAATCCCTCTCTCTCTCTCGAATGGTCCTTGCATTACTTATGAGGTGGTACAGTGGAAGATGCAAACACACAAGCTAAACAAACACGCAAACTGGTACATCTCTCTCTCTAATGGCCCTTTCATTGATAGTCAAAGCGTACAGACATGCAAGGTATAAGTCAACGCAAAGGTGGGGCTAGTACTGCCTATACTTCCTATTCTCTCATCCTGCTCTGCACCCTCTAGGTGAGATCCAGTGTTGGATCAAGAACCGCGAGGCAGTCCCCAAGGGACGGGGCCTCACCCACTGCTTCTAGTAGCGGGTTTTCAACTGCTGCTGCTATGTTGCACTTTTCCAGGTACCCAATCGACTGCCCACGTTGAAGAGCCACTGACCACCGCTGCCGGTATTGGTGTAAGAGCTTGGCAGCTTGGTAGGAGGTGGGCTCGGCGTTGAAAAACCGCCGTGCAGCCGTTTCTGCGAGTAGTTTCAGGAAGTCTACTGACTCTGGGCAGGGACACCCGTATGTCTCGACCGCTAGTGGGAAGAACTTCACCCACTCTGGGCGGTCCTTGTAAAGGCCGTGTTTCTTATCTGCTGCCTCCCGTGCCGCCCACCCCCTCCCCTTGGTGGCGTTCTCATCGCGGGTGCTGATGGGGTCCGTTATCGTCACATCGCAGATGTAGACGGCGCCAGTAGAGCGGCAGCGTAAGGCCAGGTCTGCCTTCTTCTCCTCCACTGGGCTGAAGGCGGCCGTCTCGATGTGCACCATGAAGCCTGCATCTTGCGCCATCCGCGCGCACTCATCTCTGAGTTCATTGTGTGTGTTTGTGCGCCCCCCCCCTGTTCCGCACCGAAGCAGGTGATTCGGGAGCCGCTTATCCGGGATCTCCACCTTCTTGGAGCAGTTGCAAACCCCTGGAGCCGCAAAGGGGAGCCCTAGCCGAAACTGGAGCGCGTTGGCATAGTGGGGAGCCTCAAGGCGGAGCGAGGAGTGGATGGGCACTGCGTTAAACCAATCCCCCGCCCCATACCTTGACAGGGACAGCATCCGCTGCGTGTGACCGTTGGTGGGGTTCGGGCTCATCCCCCGCACCTCCTCCACCTGCACCGCATAGCGCTGGCCCTGGATGGCCGTGGCCAGCCCGTGCTGTAGTTTCCCTGCAGTTGGAGCCGGTCTCTCTCTCTCTCTCTCTCTCTCTCTCTCTCTCTCTCTCTCTCTCTCTCTCTCTCTCTCTCTCTCTAACTCTCTCTCTCTCTCTCTCTCTCTCTCTCTCTCTCTCTCTCTCTCTCTCTCTCTCTCTCTCTCTCTCTCTCTCTCTCTCTCCTGATTCTCCAACTCCACAGGACTTCATGCGGGCCATGTCGGACATATCAGCGTGCATGCCGCACCACCACTTCCTGCTCTCCGCATGCAACGCAGCGCTGCTGTCCGCCATCTCGCCTACCGACACCGTCGTGCACGTGGTGGACTTTGGCTGGTGGATCGGCGCGCAGTGGCCCGACTTCATCGCCTCTCTTGCTGCCCGCCCGGGCCCTAAGCCCCTGCTCCGATACACCAAGGTGTGTCACGTCACGTGGTGCCGCTTCTTCCTACTGCTTGCTGTGCTCAGCGCTGCTGGGCGTGCTGTGCTCCCCTGTGTGCACGGTTGCAATTTTTTTGTTTTTCGTTTTCCTGGCTTTCTCGTGCCCAGCTGTTGCACCAGATGGGGGCAGAAAGGCACACCTGATTTTTTTCTCCCGTCGCTGCGCTTCTCTCTACTTCCCAAACCCCCTTCCCTCTCTACTGCCCCACCCTCTGCCCCCATCTGCATTCCCTGCCCATTCCTGCCATGCATATGCCTGCCACCACGCCCCAGATCGAGTCACCAGCAAGCCAGTGTCCATGGCGAGTGCTACCGCAAGTACCGCTAGCAGACTGCAAGGCCATTCTCACGCGCGCAGCAGCCAATGCGGGCATCCGGCTAGACTTTGCCGTGGTGGAGTGCTCTCTCGAGTCTATCGACTCCCACATTGCACAGCACCGCCCACCCCTTAGCTCTGCTTCCGCCTCGAATGCACCTGCCATCGCTGACAGCCAGAATCCGTCTGCTTCTGCTGGTGGTGGTGCGGATGGTGCTGTGGTGCCGTGGAGCATGGTGCGGAGCAGCACGGAGGATAGTCTTGGCAGCAGGAGCAGCAGTGACCCAGGCCAGGGAGATGCAGCAGGCAGGGGAGGAACAGAGGCGCTTCTTGTGCACGGCATCATGCGTCTGCATCTGCTCCCAGGGGGCTCTGTTGTCCGCCACTCCCCCCGCGACGCTGCGCTGCGCGCCCTGCGCCGCCTCTCCCCGCGCGTGGCTGTTCTCGGAGAGAGGCACGTGGATCACGATGGGCCGTTCTTTCTTAGGCGATTTGGGGAAGCCCTACCCTTCTACCTCTCTGTGTTTGAATCCATGGAAGCAGGGCTTGCACCGCCGCGGCTGCATTCGTCAAGGGATTTTATCGAAAAGGCGATCCTAGGGAGGGACATTGTGAACGTGGTGGCTTGCGAGGGCTCGCTGCGGGTCGTTCGGTCGGAGCCTTTGGGGAAGTGGATGAGCCGAATGAGAGAGGCGTCGTTTGCTGCTCTGCCGTTTTCAGACCATGCCCGGCATAAAGTGGCGGCGGCCATGTCCCAGTTCCCGAGGGAGTTTGGGGTGCAGGAGCAGGATGACGGGGGGCTTCTGATGACTTTCAAGGGGCAGCCGATGCTGGCTGTCGGCATGTGGAGGATTGCCTGTTGATGTACCAGCTTTTTATGATCTGAGAGGGGTGACGGAGGTCTGTCCTGCCTAGATTGGCGAATGTGTGCTGTGTGTGATGATGCATGGGGTTATCTTATGATTTATGTTTTAGAGGTGCACAACAGGAAGCTGACCGATGGGTAACTGCTGTCTGGCAAGTATTACCAGAACCAACCACAACAAGAGTCAGATGTTGGGTGACGTTTTACTGTACTTGGTAGTGAAGTGAGCTGAAAAATACACCTAGAACACTGTTGCCTCTCA